TGCCCACTTGCTTCCGCTGCTGCTGGCAGGGGTGCAGCAGGGAAGAAACAGGCTGCGCTGGCATCCAGGCTTCCAGCAAGCATCCTGGGCTGGCAGCCAGCACAGGAGGGCGTGGCTGCAGGGGGTCCCTGCCCAGAAGAGCTGTTGAAAATGAGAGGCACCTGGAGGAGTTTTTTGCCCCCACCCCCACCTTCCCACTGGAGTGCTAGGGCTAAGCACTTCTGCCACCACGCTTTGCCACTCCTCCTCCTGGTCCTCCTCTTCCTGCTCCTCCTCCTCCTGATTCTCTCTTCCACCTCCTTCTCCTCCTCCTCCTCCTAGTGCTCTTCTCCTGGTCCTCCTAGTCCTGCTCCTCCTCCTCCTAGTCCTCTCTTTCACATCCTCCTCTTCCTCCTCGTCCTGATCCTCCTTTTGATCCTCCTCCTGCTCCTTCTCCTGCTCCTCCTCCTCCTGTTCCTCCACCTCCTCCTCCTAGTCCTGTCTTCCTCCTGCTGCTCCTCCTCCTCATCTTGCTCCTCCTCCTAGTCCTCCTCCTCCTGTTCCTCCTCCCCTTCCTCCTAGTGCTACTCCTGCTCCTCCTCCTCCTAGTCCTCTCCCTCCTAGTCCTGCTCCTCCTCTACCTGCTCTGCCTACCTAGTCCTCTCCTCCTCCTCCTGGTCCTCTCTCCCTCCTCCTGTTCCTCCTCCTCCTCCTCCTATCCCTCTCGTCCTCCTCCTCCTCCTCCTCCTCCTCCTCCTTCTTCTCCTCTGCCTCCTCCTCCTCCTGGTCCTCTCTTCCTCCTCCTGCTCCAACCCCTCTACCTTCTCCTCCTCCTCGTCGTCGTCCTCCTCCTCCTAGTCCTCTCTTCCTCCTCCCGCTCCTCCTCCTCCTCCATCTCCGTCTTCAACTCCCCAGTGGTCCTGTCAACCCCTGAGCACAGTGAGGATCTGGGACTCTTTGCATCCACCCTGGAAGGGGCCCAGCGCTCTGCAGAGCCCAAGGCAGGAGGAGCCCAGCCCTGCCTGCTGAGGGTTAGAGGCAGTCAGATGCAGGCCAGGTCAAGGCACCTGAGCAAGGAGGCAGCGGCTGTTGAGGCAAGGCAAGGCAAGGGAACCCAGAGAGGAGCTTTCTACCTTCCACTTGGGCTTCCTCTCACAAGGGGACATTCTCAAGCCTGCCGCAGACATTCAGTGTCATGGCTCGGGGACCTCTACTTTAACAAACTTTTGTTTTCTTACCCCTGGTTTTATTTTGGTGCAGTTTGCTTTGGCTTTTTGCCCGTGGAGGGTATGTTGAGTGAAATAGACCAGACACTAAAGGAGTATGGCTTTGTCCCCAGGCAAGAAAATGCAGTAAGTCTCTGACATGGGAACATAGGAGACTTCCACAGGAGTACTGGAAAGGCTTACTCGGTCAGCTTACAAAGGAATCTGACCTGGGAACCTTTCCCTTGGCAGCCTACTTGTCCATTCAGGGACTCAGAGCATCCAAAAGCCCCAGAGAGCTAGGCAGTATAAATACCCTGCAGTGCAGTGAGGCTGGAGGCTAAAGAACACTGCCACAGGCTTGGCACCAGAGTCAGCCTGCAAACACCAGCAGCCTTAGGGTGGGTCAGTGCTACCCGGAAGCCAAGCAGCAGAGACAATGGGCCTGAAGGAGGAATTGGACTGGTGGGGAGGGGATCCTCTGCCTTGGTGGCCCTCAGTCCTCTCAGGCCCTGGAGAGCACCCCCCAGCTCCCTCCTGCCTCCTGGGCTGCCCTTTGACATGCTCATAGGGAGTTGGCCTGCTCTCCCCTCTGGGAGCCCTGCTCCTCCTCCCTCCTCCTCCTTTCCCTCCAGGGCTGGGACTGCCCTCCCTACCTTGTGGCTCCATCCCCAGCTCCCTCCTCTTAGCTTAGATTCCCTGCCTGACTGAGGCTGGTGGGGTGGCTAAAGTTCTACACCTGTTCTTTAGGAAAACTTTGATTCAGCTCCGCTCCCCCTCCCACACACCAACTCTGTACAAGGCTCTCTAAGCCAGGCTAGCCCCAGGAAAACTTTTCTGGACCTGTCCAGCAGTGCAAACACCCAGGCACCCTGTTTTCACACCACCAACACAGAGGCTGTACGTTCATACAGTTTTTTCAGTTCTACCTTTCTTTTTCTGGTTTTGTGTTTGTTTTTTTGTTTGTTTGTTTGTTTTGTTTTTTTGGGTTTTTTTTTTTTTTTGGTCTTTCTGAGAGGGGATTTTACTAGGTGGTCCAGGTTGGCCTTGAACTCACTTTGTGTCCCAGGCTGACTTTGAAATTTCAGCAAACCTCCTGCCTCAACCTCCCCAGTGCTGGGATAATAGGCGTGGGCTACCAACCTCCCTCCGCCCTGCATTTATTCTTAAAAATCAGACCCAGCATGGCAAAAGTCATTTCCCCTGTAAGCATTGTCCTTGTGTCCCACAACAACCTCAGAAATACCCTAAAAGTCCCCTAATACCTAGGGGAAGGTAGACCACAAAGACACTGGGTAACCCTTCAGGAATTACTTTAGCAAATACATACTCACGTTCAAGCACTCTCAAGGGAGGTGCTTCTGGTTATTTACTGAAAAATAGACTAGAGAAATCTCTAAACATTCATGAGCCTAAAGACTCGTTTCCAGTGCTGTGTATGCATAGCAGTAAATTTATGGATGCAGGAGGCGCTGTGACTGATGTGCGAAAGAATCAGGGCAATCTGTTGAAAGCAGCAGAAAACACACAACACATCTTTCAGGTAATTCAGAACATTCGAATCAGCAACACCTTTGTGGACCCAAAAACATTCAGACCAACTGGGATTCCCATAGGAACACAAGATTCCGTGATGATTCTTATTCCAAGACAATAAACTTTACCGAAACACTTGAGTACCGGGGACATGCACTACACACTCCGTACACTTCTATCACAGTGAGCCAGTGAAATGCTTCTAAGAGTACACCACATAGAACTGGAATTGATTTTCACACTGCATATGCGCTACAGGACGAATTAATTCTCAGCACAGACGCCCAAAGACTGTTAGAATATGTCCAAAATTAAAGGTATATATTGTCTGTCACAAAAACTCGATAAATCAATAACTGAAACGTTTCTGTTCTCGTAGCAGTAAGAAGAAAACAGAAAAGGAATACAGTTGTAGGGCAATGGCAGTATCTCTTCCAGACAGAATATGTGAATGGGTCAGGACGGAGGGTCACTGAGGATTAACCTAAACTGTCTGTTCAGTTAATTATGTGAGGTGTCCACACCACCTCCTCTCCAGGAAAGCAATGGTTAACGTGCTGCGGACGTGCACTGGTGAAAAAATACGGCATTAAACACTAACGCCAGATGTTTGTATGGAAATTCAGACAGATGGTGTCAGGAAGGAGAAGAAAGATTGAAACTCAACTTTTGATTTGATCAAAGATCTCCATCTCTCCGAAGCCCACTGGCAGGGTGTTCCACCTGAAAGACAAAAGACACAGTGAAGACTCACAAATGCAGCCTGGAGAGGGAAAGTTAGACTGAACTGAAAAGGAAATGAAGGTACTTGGAGGAGGAGGCAGCTGTCCTTAGCTCCAGAGGCCTGCATAGCTCCCACGCAGTTCTGAGGCCAGAGGCCCTCCTCCCATGAACAGCTTCATTTCAGGCCAGTTGTAGCAGTGGGTGTAGATCCCGTAAGGGATGTCCTGGATACTGGGGTAATAATTCATCCAGTGGTCATCCTGGTCGGCCCAGTGTTTGCTACAGGAGAGTCTGAGCTTCCTGCCTGTGGGCTCAAAAAGGGACTCTGGGCTGGTCGCAGACATCTCTTCCAGGAACCTGCGTTTGCGGATGTCAAAGAATATCAGGCAGCTGTGGCCCGTGCCCATGGTAATGATATGCTGATGGAAGCTCATGGAGCACACACCAATGCCATCCTCTATGTTGCACACGGGCCTGACCCCGATATTGGGGTGGCCTTTGCGCAGATCCAATAAGCAGACGTGTGACTGGGAGCCCACGGCATAAAGGGACAATTCCTCCGAGTAGCTGAGGCACGTGTTTTCTTGGTCAAAGGGCAGGCTAAAAGACTGCAGCCTGGTCAGGGTGCTCTGGGCTTTCCACAGGTGGAAGTAGCCATCCAGGGACACTGCTGCCAGCTCCTGTCTCTTACCACCGAAAGCCACGGCTTGCACCTTGGAGTTGCCATAGTGGATGCTGGATCCAGGGATGAGCTCTTTGTTCCTTGGACGGATATGGGCATATGGTGGGACCTTCGCTTCACTGCTGCAAGCCGTGCTGCCAGTCAGCCTGTCAGGATCCACTTCCCATACTGCCAAGGAGCCGTCCCAAGAGCCACTCACGACCGCGGCGTCACTGATCCACGCCATGGAGGTGATGGAGTCCCTGTGGCCACGGCGGTCGCCCACGCACACGGGGTCTAGCATGGGCAGCTGATAGACTGCGAGGCTGTTGGAATTTTCGCCCCCCGTGGCCAGTAGCGTCTTGGAGGGATTCAGCTCGATGGCGCGGATGCCAGAGGCAGGGTGTACCCGGTACCATCTGGGCCGCCTGTCCTGCAGCAGGGGGATGGGAGTGACGTGGTCGGAGTGCACATCCACCATGAAGAGGGTGTTGCACTTGGTGCCACACACCACTTGGCGGTCATTCAGCCACTGCGACGAGAACACCTTGTCCACTGCGCCCAGGTGCAGCCGGCGTTCGGTCAGCAGCTCTGGCAGTTGGGACGCTAACCTGCAGCCCATTTGGCCCCTGACGCCCTGGAGACTGGGGCGGCCCCGCATGCCCAGGGCGCGGTGCTGCAGATAGTGCACCAACGAGCGACTCCCCGCCTGCTCCTGCTCCTGGAGGCGCAAGGTGTGTGAGGACCTGCCCGAGGGGCCCGCCTGGGTCCAGCTCCGGGGGACCCCTCTCTCCGTCCTGAAACCTTCTTGCTGTGGCACCGTGACACTCCTGAAGCTCGAGTCTCTGCTGCCTCTGCCGAGGCTGGGTTGATCGCTGGCGCCAAGACAGGTGGCCATGGTGACTGTCCGCACACCTGGCGCACCAAGCAAGGGACAGTGGTGTCTCCTCCTCAGTCAGGAGAGCCGGGTCCCAAGGGCCAAGAGGCTGGGCAGCGGATGGTCCCTCTGCCAACGGCGTCCTGTGTACCTGGACGGCGAGCGAGCGAGCGAGGGTGGCAGCTGGGTGAGGAAGGTGCTGCTGGAGAAAGCGGAGTGTGGCGCCCGGCGGGTGAGGTAGGTAAGGGTGGTGATGCCACCTGCGGGTGGTCAAGACATAAGGAAGACCCAAGGACACTGAGGGAGGTGTCGCAGGGAGTGGGGAGGGAAGAAGTCCCTTAGGGCAGTTGTGGGAAGAACCAGCGCAGCAAGAGAGGAGGCTAGGGGCGGGCCGAGGGAAGGTTCTGGAAGCAGAGGCCAAGGAAGACAATCCTTTGGGGAGGGGCTAGGAAGAAAGTTAGTGATTGGGCAGAAGTCCATCAAGGGGGTGGAGACCACGGCAGGGCAGGGGGCGTGGCTGAATGTATTTGCCGGGGGTGAGGGGTGGGGGGTTGGGGGATGGGTGTGGGTCGAAAGTCCGTTTCATTGACTGCAGGAAGGAAGCCTGCGAATATGCCCTGGGTGCGAGAGTGGAGGGAGAGAGTGGGGTAGGGGCGGGGTGAGTGAGAGGAAGAAAGTCCATTGGGTCTGGGCCAGGAGGTAAGTCAGTGATTGGACAGAAGTCTGTGAGAGGGGTGTCACCATGGTTGTGCAGGAGGCTGGACCGAGTGTAGTGGAGGGAGAGGCGGGCGAGCGATAGAAAGTCAGGTGGGTTGGCTGCAAGAAAGAAGTCAACCAGAGACAGTGAATCAATAAACATGGCGGGTTGGAGGAGTGGCTTAGTGTAGGAGTGGGCGGGTCCAGCCAGGAAAAGCAAGCCCATTGAGCAGGGGTGGGCAGGAAATCACGGATTGGACAGAAGCCCGGGACAGGGGTGTGGATCACCGGGGGGGGAGGGGCGTGGGAGGGGCTCGGGGTTGGTGAGAACTCAGTGGGCGGGGTCAGAATTCGGAAGTCAGGGTGAGGACCTCAAAGCCTACCTGGCTAAGTGTAGGTGGGGTTGGAAGGGGTACAGTGGGAGCGAAAAGAAGTCCATTGGGTGGGCGGCAGGAAGGAGGTCCCTGATTGGCAGGAAGCGGGTGAAGGATTTAGAGCTCCTTGTGGGCAGAGCTGAATGTAGGTGGCAGTACTTTGGGAGGGAAAGGAGTTGTTCAGCTGCTGGAGAGAAACCAGTGGTTGGCAGAAAGTCAGTGATAACGTGTGGACCACACATGGGGCAGGTCTGAGTGTAGCTGGGGATCGGTAGGAGGGCCAGAAAGTGGGTGACATGGCTGCAGGAGGGAAGTCAATGATTGGCAGTGACGTGGAAGGCGTTGGGGATCCCGCTGAGTTTAGGTTAGGGATCGCGGGAGGTGGAGAGAACGTCCACTGGGTTGGGGGCAGCAAGGCAGTCAGTGAGGGGTGGCTCAGGAGGAGCGCAGCTTGGGGCTGGGTGTTGGTGGGCAGCAGTGAGAAGGGAAGAAGCCTGTTGGGTTGGCGACAGGAAGTCAGTGAAGGGGCAGAACTCAGTGACTGGTGTGCAGATACTGGGTGCAGAGGGTGGGTGGTGAATAGGTGGGAAGCTTGGGGGAGCCAGGCATGCAGGGTATTCTGGGTAGAGCACAGGTACCAGAAGTCTGCGGGAGACAGCGGTGACATGTAAAATGGGGAAAAGACCTAAAGGGTGTTGGGAGAAATGTGCTCTCTTGTCCAGACCCAAAGAATGGGTTTCAGGGGCAGGAGAAGCAGCAAAACAAGGCTGCTAATTCACTCCAGGCTGGGTGTTCCTACGACCCACAGGCACTTCCGGGGCCGTCACAGCGGGCAGCAATTTTACCTCCTGGCATGCGGGTCGCTTCCTCTTCTCCACATGGGCTGGGTGCTGGGTACTAGGTCGGGGCACAGTGTTCCCCAGCGATGCTCAGGTAAGCGGGGCCCCAGCCACCCGCCCTCTTATGTGAGTTTGGATCTCTTTTAGTTGCACCTACTCTTTAATTCTGCAACTTGTGGAGAAGCACAGTTGCTGTTTACAGATTCCATGGATAGGAGCTTGCAGCGCCGCAGTTTCCGCTGTTGCTCCTTAGCCCTAGCTAAGACAATATGCTTTTCTCCTCCCGCCCTCTGCTCATGCCCACATTCGGTGGTGGCCTCCTTTGTAGTTTCTCTCTTCCCATGGCCCTTTGCTTGGAGACCCACTTACTGCATAAACTTTTCCCTCTAACTTTCCACTCTGACTTACCGGTTTCATCTTGAACGTGCACCACTTTAACTTTCTATTTCTTACAGGTGGCAGCTGTTGGAAGAGATTCCTGGAAAGCTGTGTGTCAAGTCCTCCAATGCCCAACTTGGTGTTTCTCTCCCTTCGCCACAGCAGCCAACAAGCTGCTTCAACAAAATCCGGAACCTTAAATCCATACAGTCAAGGGAGCATCTCAAAGGAGCCTTGATCGTGCTGTCCCTGTAGGAACCACCACTGTGCACATAAAGTCACCCTGGGAGAACCGTGACTAGAACGAGACACTGAAAATGGCAGGGAGTAAGGCTAGTGGAAAGTGGCAGGGGGATCCCCCTTTCTGTGCGCCTCTTCCTGGGGTGCCTCTAGTACTGACAGTAGAGTGGGGGCTGGGAGCTCACTCCCTTCCAGCCACTTGAGTTTGGGGAACACCTCAGGGCCAGTCTTCCTGCCATTGCTCTGAAAGAGGCAGAAAACAACACAGCAGAGGACAAGGAAGTCCTTGAGGCTCCAGGCCAGAGCACCAGTCACCTTAGATCTCCTGGCCTGACCTTCAGTAACCTTCGCCCCCTCTACCCTTGTTAACGTTTGATGTGCATGGGCCACATCTCCTACATGTGATTTAATCACAGTGAACTTGAGGACACACATGCTTTTGGCGAGCCCCGACTCAGGATGGCTCAGCATCCTGCCTTCATCCCTATAGAACCTTGGGCCCCCATCTCTCATGTCCAGCTGTAGAGGCTTTGTTAAATGACCACTTCTTGTTTAAAAACTTTTTGTATTTTATTTTAAAGAGATTAAGACAAAAGAGGACAGAACAAAGCAGATCAGAACAGAACAGTGTAAGCAACACAGCACTTCATCACAAGACAACTGGATATTAACAGGAGCTCTCTTTCTTTGAAATAGTTGAGCATACCTTCACATACAGTAGTATCAAACATAACAAAATAGAATAAGACCATTCAAGAGAATGAAAGTATTACAGGGCATTGAGAACCAAATACCAGAAAATGAACAATGGCTACCATAATATCTCATTTTCCATAAATATTTGTTTATACTGTCACACATATTAAAATCCAATAAAACACAACAGGAGAGAACCAATGGAAACAGAAGAACAAAAGCATGGTAGGACTTCATAGCAAGGTGATAGTAAATCAGCAATGGCTGCCATAATGTCTTGTTTTCTTCAAGATACTTGTTCATACCATCACACGTAATAAAATCTAACCAAACAGAATAAAACCATTCCAACTAATGAATGAAAACACTGTAAGGCTTCAAAGCAATGTAATGGGGAATCGTGATATATCATAAAATCTTACGTACTCTTACCATTTCTTACACTATGGAGGCTATATGATATTTGTACATGTGAGTTTGATTTATTTTGCTTATGAGTGTGATCTCAAGTTGCGTCCATTTATTTATAAATATCTCAATGTGATCATTCTTTATAGATGAGTAGTACTCCATTGTATAAAAACACCACATCTTTTTTTATCCATTCCTCAGTTGATGGTCACTTAGGTTGTTTCCAAGATCTGACTATTACAAATTGTGCTGCTATAAACATGGGTGCACGTATATCGCTGTGGTATGATGTTTTCAGTTCTTCTGGGAATATGCCTAGAAGTGGAATAGCTGGGTCGAATGGGACTTCCAATCCCAGCTTTTTAAGGAATCTCCAGACTGACCTCCACAGTGGTTGCACCAGTCTGCACTCCCACCAACAGTGCAGGAGAGTTCCTTTTTCACCACAGCCTCTCCAGCATTTGTTGTTGGTGGTTTTCTTGATCCTGGCCATTCTTTCTGGAGTGAGATGGAATCTCAGTCTGTGGTTTTAATTTGCATTTCTCCAATGAACAATGATGCTAAACATTTTTTTCATATATTTGTTTGCCATTTGTATTTCTTCATCTGAGAACTCTGTGTTCATCTTGGATGCCCATTTTTGGACTGGGTCTTTGAATTTGGGGGCCTGAGTTTTTTAAATTCTGTATATGTAAATGACCACTTCTTGTGGGTTTCACCTGCTCAGAGTGCAGCGTCACAGCACAGGATGTAGTGGGTATGAAGATTCGTCCTAGCACAGCGGCTTGTTCATTAGCAGATGCGCCTGTTATTCCTGTATTGTCTGTACTCCAATTTGGCACTTTGCAAAACTTTCAAGTTCATCTGGTGACACAGGCATCTACCTCTCATCCATAGATGTGTGCTTGGGGATGTATGAATATTTAATAATGATTTGCATTATCATTAATTTGAAATATTATTGTCAGTGCTATTTATTTATATGGAAATATACCTTAATATGATCAGTTTAGGGTTGAACACGCTTATCCTATAGTGTAATGGGTGTACTAAATGTGTCCAGCTGAGAATTTTAAGTGGGGTTTACATTTTGGCTCGAGTTTATATTAGGAGCAACCGCACCACCACCACCATTCTAGGGCTTCTATTCCGATTAGGTCTTATTTTCAGGGAAACACAGTGAAAGCAGAATGACTGGGAGTTGCTCGGGCAGAGAAAGCTTTTCTGAAATGTGGCCCCTGGGCAGAGACCTGGCAAAGCAAGAGCAAGTTGTGTCACATTAGGGAGGACATTATGCATTATTCTAGGAAGAAGTGGCACAAGCCAGAGGGTCCTGGGGCGGGGGACTTCTGGGCACCTTGGCTTCCTGGGCTCATATAGCTGGGCTTCCACTCATAGTCCTGCTTTGCTGCCCCTGCCGTGTCCTGGCAGAGAGGTCCTGGTCACCGCACAGTGACCAGCACTGGACGTGCTAACTCTCTGCACGGCCAAGTCGCTCCTGTGTCCGCAGCTCAGATTTTGATATGGGACTCATGTGAGGAGCAGCCCCCAGCGGGTGAATGAGAAGGGGAAGTGGCTGCTCTGTCCCACTCCAATGAGCCCA